TCCTCTCCACCTATCTTCTCCTCTATCCATCTTCTATCCGCCTCCCCCTCTCTCCCTATTTATTTCAGAACCCCCTTCCCCTCCCCCATTTCTGATGCAGGTCTAGGCCCGAAATGTCAGCCTTCCTGCTCCTATGATGCTGCTTGGCCTGCTGTGTTCATCCAGCTCTACACCTTATTATCTCAGCTTCTCCAGCATCTGCAGTTCCTACTATCTCCGATACAATACTCCAGCTAATGTCTAACTGGAATCTTATACATGTTCAGCATCATCTCCTTTCTCTTATATTCTATGCACCTATTAATGAAGTCTATGATACCATATGCTTCATTAACTGCTCACTATACCTGTCCTGCCACCATTAATGGTTTATGCACATATATATTCAGGTCTCTCTGGTTCTGCGCAAGAACTTTAAGAATTTATTTTGCACTGTCTCTCCATTGTCTTTTTCCCGCATGGTATCACTTCACACTCTTCCACATTGAACCTCATCTGCCTCCTATCTACCCACCCACCGATTTGTCAATATCCTTCTAAACTTCTATTTTATCAATACAAACATGGTATGTGTAATTTGTCTGACATATTTTTGCAGATATGGAAGCATACTCCACACAGGACCTGAAAACACTGTGGTGTTATTAATTATTAAGTGTAATGTCATCCTGACATACACCAGGTATTGTGCACAGATTGTTCTTAGTTTTAGTTGCAACGCTAGAAGTTGACTTTTTGCTCCATCCTTGGACCTTTAAAGCAAACTGGATCATTTATAGCACCTATTAATTCTGATTGACACGGGATACAATAGTTTAATGCAATTTAACTGATATTGATGTGATTAGAGAAAGTTGTCACGGTCATTGTATAGCTTTACATAATCGATCCTTGCAATGTTTGCACTCCATCAACACTTTCCTAACGTCAAAACTTTAATGAAAGGATTCATTCATAAAGACCGAGAAATGTATTCACACGCTTGGTTTTCTGGGAGCGCCGAATGAATAAGAAGTGGCAGTTTTAGTTGTAGATTTTTAAAAAAAAAATATATATATTTTGTTTTAATTGGGTAACTTCCCTAAATTCCCATCCACTTCTCCGTTGCGCCAGGGTGGGGCCCAATTCAATTTGAGGATAAAACTGCAGCTTTCTAAAAGAATGTCAGCGTTATAAATCCTGAAGAGTCAGCAACACAGCTCGCAGATACAATAGAAATGCCAACATTGTAAAGGGGGAAAGAATTGAGGCTAATGATCTGGGGGAAATTTCAGGAAGTTTCACAAAAACAAGAATAACTTCTGCACCGAGTTAGCAGCCTCTATCTAGTGCAGGATTGTTTGATTAAAAGTAACTCAATCCCAAACATGACAAGTTGATCAATACTCCAACGTGACGCACTCGCGATGGAACAAACCGTTTAAAGCAGCCGGCCACGTAAAGAGGAGACGGAGTTCAGTCTGCAAACTAGGACAAACAGATCTAAATACCAGGCACAGGTTTTCTTTCAATGCGCAGAACAGCCGCCTTTTGTAACACGGAATGGGAATAACAGAAGAGAACAACTTTAAAGATTACAACAAGAACCAAGTGCTCCTTTGCACAGGTGAGTTTTCTAAACAATACAAAAGTCTTTAAAAAAAAATGAAGATTCTGGTCGGAGCAAAGAAAGTCCGTAATGAACAGAACTGGTTTTGGAAATGAGCGATTTACCTCTCCTTGGGGTGATGGAAGGGCAAAGTTTGACATTTTTTCTAAACTGAACTCACACCCTTGACAAATGGAGCGAATCCGACATAAATACATTACAATTAAACATAGGTGCATGTTCTCACTGGTGCACGTTTTGGTATTTAAGGGAAAATTTGAGCTGCAAACAATTCGTCAACTATATTTCCATTCCTATTTAATCGAAAAAGTCAGTTGAAAAATTTTAATGTTTTCTGATGTGATTTGTATTTTGTACCTTTGTTGAACTCTTTAGCTGTTTCAACCTAATAGTCCACGTACTCTTAGAGAAGAAAAAATAAACACAAATTTAGTCACTTGTGCCTATAACAATTTTGCTTAATTTTATCAGGGACTTTTCCGGAAGGATTGAAGAGAGAAAACCACGTGGACCTGATGCCGTTGGACTAGCCTTCAGTTCTGCCGTTGGCTCTGGAGTGTGACAATGGTGTTTGTGTAAAGTGAAATCAAACGCCATTATCACACTAAATAGCTCGGGTGGGAATCAGCTGCACACAGGCCTATTCTGCACAAAATCTCCCCAATCCCACCTATTCGGTCGCTTTCATCCGACGCGGGAACGTTAATTTTTCACCAAACAATGAAACTGAAGCGTGCTGTTCAGCAAAGCAATTACACTCTGGATACCGATAAGAAGACCTGCTTAGTCTCGTATTTAAACCAAGCCCTCCGTTATTACTCGTTTACCCTCGTCTATTTGTAAATGATTCTAAAACCACAGCTTACCTTCAGAGTTTAAGGTGCTTCTATGGCGAGAAATAAATTGATGTAATTACAGAAAATGATCGGTAAAACCAAATGACTTCCTTGCCATTATGTCTAATGACACTTTTGTTTTCCAATTATCTATACTAGCAAAACTATCTACACTGGCTAAAGTATCTTTACACATCCTGCTGGGCATGCATATTGAAAAGTGGCAGACTCAAGATTGGATCACTCCACAATATCCAACAGGTTTTTGGTGCCCTTCTGCCTACATGCCCAAAGTCATACAGCATAAAAACAGATCCTTTGGTCCAAATCATCTGTGCCGACCAAGTTTCCTGAATTAAACTACTCCCATTTGCCTGTAATAAAAACTGCAGATGCTGTAAATCAGGAACAAAAACAAAGTTGCTGGAGAAGCTCAGCAGGTCTGGCAGCATCTGTGAAGGGGAAAACAGTTAACATTTTGGGTCTGGTGACCCTTCCTCAGAACTGAGACCTGCTGATCTTCTCTAGCAACTTTGTTTTTGTTCCCATTTGCCTGTGTTTGGCCCATATCCCTTCCTTCTAAACGTTTCCTATTCATGTATTTGTCCAAATGTCGTACCTGGCAGTACATTCCACTTGCAAACTACCCTGTGTGGAAAAGCCCCTCAGGTGCCTTTTAAATCTCTCTCTCTCTTCTAATCTTAAAAATATGCCTTTTAGTTTTGAACTCCCCTTCCCTGGAGAAAAGACCTTTGGCTATTCAAATTGTCTATGCCCCTCATGATATTATAAACCTCCTATGCTCCAGGAGGAAAAAAAACACTTGTGTTGCCGAAGATATGGTTTGAAAAGGAAGTTATAAGCCCATCCAATCAACAAGGTTTGTGTGGAATACCAGGAAGGCCTCAAATATGTGAATTTAGTTTACCTCTGCGTTGGTGGGGATTGCATTCAGTCAGAGTATGGACAATGAGCAAAGTGTGTGCAAGAATATCTGCTGCTGATGACAGGAATAGCCAGACTACAGACAGCCCACAATAGCCTGGCCTAGAGGTTTGGTTCACAGCAGTATTGTGGAGGAAAGCTGTAACTATGAAACTGTAGCATGGGAGTCAGCATTATTGGGAAAATGGAAGGCAAAATGGATAGAATTTAAAAGTAATGTGATGGCCACCTGTGTATGTGCATACAGACTGTCAGGTGTCTGGCCTAGCTGTTTGACAGTTGGGAGGTCCTGTGTCAATTTTACCACCTATTGGATTGCTACTGATCTACTCCAGTTGTTTTCTAAAACCCACTTTTCCTCACGGCTCCCCCCCACCCGCCTCCTAACTGCACAACTCGCGTTGGGCTATGTTCATGGACTTCTTTGTCTCTGACATTGAAAGGTCAACTTAATTACTTCTGCTATATTACCCCATTTCCTCAGTCCACCAAGATTCTGCTTGTCGTTGTCCTCAGCTCACTGTTTCCCTCCAGTATGACCTCCCTATCTGGTCCGTGAGATTCCCCTCGAGCTCCAATTTGTCACCCAACTGCTGAGTTTCTAATGTGCTTTTCTGGTCACCTCATTAGTTGCTCTTGTTGATAGTTGTCTCTCTTCAGCATCTTTCTTTTTGAAAATCCTCTATCATAACCCCTCTGCTGAAAAAGAACCAACCAAAGGCACCTTTGCTTTTCAAACTACCAACTGTCTTCAAACTTCTGTTCTTTTCCCAAGTCCTTGAACATATTATTACTTCCCAAAGTGCACCCATCTCTTCCTTAACTTCATGCCTGAAGATTTCCAACAATATGTCTCTGCTCGTGCTACAGCACAGAGGTAACGCTAATTAGCGTGGAGGTGATCCTAAACAATTACAAATCCCGTCTATTGTGATCCAGCACCCCATGGCCTCAATCCCTCCTTATCTTTCTCAATTTACGTGAAGACTTTACTGATGTTAACTGCACCATTCTCCTCCAAACATTGTCCAGCTGAATGGAATTTCCCTATCCAGTTCCATTCCTTCTGACCAATCCTAGCCAGAGAACTTATGGAATTGCTTCTTTCCATATACATACATAAAGTCATGTCTGGAATCCCCAAAGACTCTATCCTTTATTCTCATCAATATGCTGCTCCTTGCCGACATCGGGTGAAAAAAAAAGGTCAGGTTCAATGTGTACAATAGGAAAACTCAGCTGTAGTTTACCACCACCTCTCTTGATTGCTGTTGTCTTTTGCCCAGTATGTAATGCTGGAAGAGCAGAAATATCATGTCACTTGACTAAACTTTGGGAAGTCTGTAGCCATTATTTTCATCCTATGTTGAAACTCCTTGCTGTATCTGCTGATTGCTTCTAGCTCTCTGCCAAGGGAATTATGCTACACTAGACTTGACATCCTATTTGACAGTGAACAGAACTTTCGTTTGAAGAAGAATCCTACTGGACTCAAAACATTAACCCTGTTTTTTCTCTCCACAGCCACTGCTTAGAGTTTTCCAGTATTCTGTATTTGTTTCAGGATCTATTGTCCTGTCTGTCAATAAGACTGCTTACTTCTGTAATATCACCTGTCTCTGTCTATCTGGTGCTAAAACTCTCAAGTAGTTTTGTTTTAATTTGTTGAGGAAACTAATCAGATGTTCTCCTGATTGATGTCCTCTCTTCTGCCCTCCATAAAATTTACTTAATCTGAAGCTCTGTGGTCATAAACCAAATTACACTATGTCCAACTCAGCTAACACCCCTCAACCATTCACATTTAAAATTCACATCCTTATGTCTGAATAGAAACATCTGTGATGAAAGAAAGAGACTTTCATTTTAACAGCACCTTCATTGGCCTCCAGAGCATTCCATTAAAGTGAATTAAGCGCTCTCATTGTTGTTAAATAGAAAATGCAGTAGCCAAATAGCAAATATGTTCCACAAACAGCTGTGTGCTAATAAGCAGGTAATCCTTTTTAATCACTTCTTGTTGAGGATTAAATATTGATTAGGACGTTAGTGCAGTTCCACTGCACTAATTCAAATTAATGTCTGAGACTCTTTTACATTCTCGCCCATGGTTGGATGGTTTTTAGTTTCATGCCTCATTTGATAGATGCACATCTGACAATGCAGCACATCTTCTGTACTTTATTGAAGTGTTGGCCCAAATTTTGTACTCAGTTCACTGGTTTGGGATAGAACTCTCAAATTTCAAAGTCAAAGGGTTGTGTTGCTGGACCTCCCTCTGCCCCATCCCAACCATTCTTTACAACTGCCTAGTCATAGAGATGTACAACACGGAAACAGACCCTTCGGTCCAACTCGTCCATGCTGACCAGATATCCTATATAATTCTAGTCCCATTTGCCAGCATTTGGCTAAGTACTGTAAGGAAGTGCTTAAATGGTAGGGGAATGGGAACCTGAGAAGGGAGACTCAAGATAGGAAAACAAAGATAGAAATGTAAAGTACAAAGCACAAATGGCAGGCAAAGGAAACAAAGCCAGCAAATAGAAGTTTAGTGCAAAAATGACATGTAAAATGTTAAATATAAAAGTATTACATCTGAAAACAAGGGGCATTCACAATAAGGTAGATGAATTAACAGCACAAATAATTTAAATAGATATGGTATGATTCTAGTTTCAGAGAAGTCGGTTACAGGGTGACCAAGGCAAGGAACTGAATACCTTTTCGATATAAAGTTTGGGAACAACAGGCAAAAAGACAAAGACAGTGGGTATCGTTGTTAGTAAAGGATGAAATAAATGCAATAGTGAGAGGATTTTGGCTTAGAAAATATAGGTATAGAGTGTATCTGTGTGGAGCTAAAAAGCAGCAAGTGGCAGAAAACATTGGTGAGAGTTGTGTATAGTGGTAAGGTAAGGGATGATCATAAACAGGAAATTAGAGAAGCATATAACAAAGGTGATATAGTAATTGTGGGTGACTTTAATCTAGATATAGACTGGGCAAACCATAAGTAATAATATTGTGGTGGTTTAATTTCTGGAGAGTTCTTTTTTAGGTTAGTATGTTGAGAAACCAAACAGGGAACAGGCTATCCTACATTTGGTATTGTGCAATGAGAAAACGTTAATTAATAATATTCTTGCTTAGGGTTCTTTAGGGAAGAGTGACCCTGGCAAAATTCTTCACTGGGATGAAAAGTAAAGTAGTACGTTCTCCATCTAGGGTCCTAAACCTAAACAAAGCAAGGTATGAAGAGTGAATTGGCTATAATAGATTGGGTAACTTAGTTCAAAGTGGTGACAGCGGATAGGTAATGGTTGATATTTTAGGAACAAATGCATACACTATAACAATTGTTCATATCTTTCTGGTGCAAAAACACAACAGTAAGGTGACCCAGTTATGAGTAAAAAAATAAATTAAGACCGTATTAGATCCAAAGATGAGTCATATATCATTGCTGTAAAGAGTATCAAGCATGAGCACTGGGAAAAAGTTCATAATTCAGCAAACTAGGACCAGAGATTGATAAGAGAGGGTAAATAAAGTTTGAGAGTAAAACCATGAGGGACATAAAAGAGCAAACTTCTATAAGTGTATATATAAAGAAAAACTAGTGAAGACGAATGTAGGCCCCTTACAGTTTGAAATGTGAGAACTCATAACGGAGAACAACGAAATGACAGCAATTAAACAACTACTTCTGTCTTCACAGAGAAATACACAAAACTTCTCAGAAATGCTAGGAAACCAAAACAGAAATTGAAGGAGAGATAGTAGGAACTGCAGATGCTGGAGGATCCGAGACAACAAGGTGCAGGGCTGGATGAACACAGCAGGCCAAGCAGCATCATAGGAGCAGAGAGGCTGA